GGGTGTGCTGCTTTATGCTAATTGATGTGCCTAATTTAAATTATCCATTTGAGTGTGCACATTAGGGTGGGCCGAAAATCCGCTTTTTTAGAATTTCGTTTAGTAATAGCAAAAATTTTGTTTATTATGTTGTAAACAAATTTTGTGTAAAAGATTAAATTTTTCGATCAACATCCTAGGCTCGCCCAACGCAATTAAAGATCAAAATGTTCAAAAAATGTTGATACTAAAATCGGGTTTATTTCTGAAACTATCCATCTGAAGTAATTTTGTGTAAGGACCTTTTTTGTAGAGCATAAAATTTCCGATCGAAATAAGTTAGGAAAATTTTTTTTTTTACATTTTGATCTTTAGTTGCGTTGCAACGCGTTGGGCGAGCCTAGGATGATGATCGAAAATTTTAATCTTTTACACAATTTTTTTTTACAACAAATTTCTGAAACTATCCATCTGAAGTAATTTTGTGTAGAGCATAAAATTTTCGATCAAAATAAGTTAAGAAAAATTTTTTTTTGAACATTTTGATCTTTAATTGCGTTGGGCGAGCCTAGGATGTTGATCGAAAATTTTAATCTTTACACATTTTTTTTTTTACAACATAATGAACAAAATTTTTGCTATTACTAAACGAAATTCTAAAAAAGCGGATTTTCGGCCCACCCTAGTGCACATGTCTACCTTTTTATTTAGTAAGCTGTGTATGAACTGAAAACAAAATACGACAATGTTAGTATTGCCGATATTGTCAATAGAATTAATATTGTTTTGAAAAAATAATATCCCATTTTTTTAGTTTTTTTTAATATACTGATGTTTCCAAGATAAGATGTACTCATTGTAGGACTTAAGTTTGCCCAGGTCAACATTTTTTAACCATTTAACAGCATTCCATAAATTTGAGGATCAATTTAAGGGCGATTCCATCCACGGGACAAGCAAAAAAAACCAAAATGTTTTATGAAAAGTTTTGAAGATGTGTTGTTCCTATAATAATAATAATTTTATGCCAGTCCTCAGCAATGAAATTAAGTAATAATAACTATTATAAAATTATATTATACGAACAGCACATCTTTAAAATTTTTATAAAACATTTTGTCTTGTTTTTGTTTGTGCCGTTAGTAATCATGGAATCGCCCTTAATTGTTGCTTCACCCACTGTACCCGAAGTTTTTCAAGTTTAAAAAAACATTTATTTATGTGTAGATATAATTTAAAAGCCTACAGACAAGCTGATAGTTCTTCAAAAATTTCCGCACATGATTCTTCTAATACACATGTCCAAAATATGTCTAATATTGCTGATCCCATGGTTTATCCTAGTAGTAGAGATGTAGGGTTTCAGCGCCACTTCAGGATTTTCAGAATTTTTTCAGGAACTCGATGGCATTTTTCAGGATTTTCAGTGCTGAAGAGGTCCTTTTCAGGATGTCTTCTGCTGCTGAAGGTCAATGACCAGAAGGTCATTTTTCCTGAAAGATAAGGACCATCGAGGTCCTGGTTTATCTCTTAAATCTTAGGTTGGTTGTAACTAAATTTTGGTTGGTACTACTGTCTAATTAGATTTTATCTCTAATAATAAATTATTGATAATAATAATTTATTATTATTAATTTATTAATAGAAATGTTTGCAAAAATTGATTAAAAATAATATTGATAATACAAAAGTGAACTGATAGTAAAGTGAGTTTAAAACAAAACATGGAAAAACAAAATCCACCCTTAATTGCAACACCACCTCATGGCCAACCCATTATAAATCAACAACCTATTGTGACACCGAATGCAACAGCACATCACAGGATTTGTAGCCCCAAAGACCAGCTTCCGTTCTTGTCAAAGCTTACAGTACAAGTAGATCATCAGTGGTGTGCAGTGTTAAAATTTATCGTTTTACTAAAATTAAATATTTATTAATTAATTACAAATATTGTTACTTTTAGGTATTCTACGACAACTGGTTTGTTAGAAAATTTACATTTTTGCATTACAAAATTAATGTTGTTTTATTAAAAAAAAAAGAATAATTGAATTAAAAGATTGTTAAATTAAAGTTTTGTATTTATAGACCTTCTAAACAAATAATTATTTTTATTAAACACCCGCAAACTGTCAAAAAATTTTAACCTCATGGGCAAAATGCCACTATTGCATGAAGTGGAATTTCGCTTACAAATTGAGGTTAAAAATGTCAGTATGCGGTTGTTAAATAAAATATTGTGTGCGGCTATTGGTCAAACACTCAAAAAAAGCGGTCAGCGGTACCCATGGTTATGGTAAAATATGCGCCAACCAGTAGAACCTGAGTTGCTACCTACAGAGTGGCAATGAGTTATTGTTACGAATGACATTACAGCAAAGTGATCAATACCATTACTGCTCTAATTAAATTTTACTACTATCTACATGTTGTTATATAATAACCGTTTTATTGAAACCTTTTACCACTACACACTGTTGAAACTTACGATTACATATTGGTAAATGGTACCCTTAATATTATTTCAGCTACTTAAAATAGTTTTTAAAATTATAATTAGGTTTTCTCAACAGCACGGTAAGGTAGTAAATAAATAACAATTGTATTTAAAAACATTCTTTATTAAAATAAAATTATTTATATGGATGTCCACAAAAATAAAAGTTAAAATAATGAAATAACTAAATAAAATAAAAAAACATGGCGGATCCTTAAATGATCGTACAAATAGGTATTATATCGTTTAAATCCTATCGTTCATCATAAACAGGACATTTTTAAAATTCAACAAACTTTGTACGATAATCATCATTTTTGAATTTAACCGTTGAGTGAATAACATAATGTTTATTTCTGTGAAATTTTGGTTTTTCTGCATCTAGGCCTTTTGTCAATAAAAATTCGAATTTGAAGGTGTTATTGTGTACTGGAACCGCGGCGTTTGTGTCATGACGACTTGAAAGTTGATACATAATTACAACTTACTATGTGTTACCGGCAATGTAAAAAATCCGGCGATGTGGGAAATGTCTAGATTTTATCCCAAGTAACATTTTTTAAGAAAGGTAGTTTTAATAATGGTTTTAATATGGTTTTATTGTTGCACAAAAAAGAGACGCTGTTTTATTAAGGCAATATATTGTTCTAATTAGACTGCAGGATAAAATACTCTTAAAGAAATGTATTATAAAATATTTTAAAACTATATGATAAAGCTGTTTTGTTTTAAAATCCAGTTTATTTTATTTTATTTTAATACGGTTTTATGTGCATTAATTAATATGCTATTTTAAAACCCTTTGGTTCTATAGTTCTCTTAAGGAGTACATGGGTTTAAAGCAGCCATAAAAAGGCTAATATCCTATGATTGTTTTTAAATTCAGCTTTAAGAAGTGTTTTAGGATTACACTTTAAACCATTTTACACTGAAAACCTTTTAGACCAATTTTTGGGCCCTTTAAAATGGTTGGTCTCTAAAGTTACCATAATAACAATTTTAAGGTCAGGTATATAAATAGGTAAAACTTGTTTAACAAGATAACCCTAATTTTTGTTGTGTTCTATATAAATAATTTGTTTTGTTCTTTATAAATAATCTGTTGTTGTTGTGTTCTTTATAATCTGTGGTTGTTGGTTCGCATACATGTGCATGATGTCGACAATAGAGAAGTGGCTAAAAATTAAAAAAAGTGATAACTTTTACAGAAAATGTAAAAAAAAATACTCAAAATGCAGTTTTAAGAAAAAATATCGCTGCTCTAGCGAAAGCAGATGTATTACTTCAAGATAATCAAAATCCTACTGATTCTTATACTTCAAATGTTACCGAAAATTGTAACACCACTGAAAATTTTGTTAGTCTTGAGGATTCAGAAGAAACTGAAGTAAAAGTAAACTGGGTCATAGAGTTAGATTCAAATTGTGATCTCGAAGTTAATTCAGCAGTTAAAGAAATAGAGGGAAAAAAAATAAAAGGTTTGTAGAGGAACTAAAATGTTGGGCAAATTTGTGTAATATTAAGCATAATGCACTAAAACTCTTATTTAAAACCATTAACAACCGGTATCCTTGTCTTTTACCCAAAGAGCCTCGTACATTTCTTAAAACTCCAGCAAAAATTTCCAGGTTCTTAGAAATAGGTGAGACAGGTCAGTACTGGCACCACGGAATAAAGTTGTGTTTAGCAAAAGTATTTACTTATACAAGGTCTCCCGTATCGTTATGTTCAAATTTTGAGAGCATAAAGTAGACTTATTTTCAGGAAGAAAACCAGCAAAACTTGTATATCAATTTTTATTTGTTTCAAAGTTACAGGCCTTTGAATTATTGGCAAATAATTATGCAAGTTTCTCCTTGTAAATGTAGTTTCATCTGTCCAGACGACTGTTCTGCAGAAATTAAAATTAAGCCGTGACTGTCGCCACCACATTTCGGAATTGCTGTGCGAAATTGGGTTACTGTCAACTATCCAAGATGGATTGGTCAAGGTGGTCTTGTTGCCTGGCCACCTAGATCACCCGATCACAATTCCCTTGATTTTATGAGGGTACATGAAAGGTTTAAACTACGCCCAAGTTTCAAATACAAGAGAATAATTATTGGAACGTATTCAGCAGGCTGCCAAACAATTACGACAAAACAAGCACCAAATACGGCCTGCATTCAACAAGGAGGTGGACATTTTAAAAATAATATTAATTGACCTTTTCTTAAATAAAATCATTTTTTATTTACTTTAAGAATGAATTAGGATTATTAATTATTTACCAATAATTCAAAGGCCTGTAACTTTGAAACAAATAAAAATGGATATACAAGTTTTGCGGGTTTTCTTCTTAAAAATAAGTCTACTTTATGCTCCCAAAATTTGAACATAATGATACGGGACACCTTGTATAGATGCACCAAAACAATTGTCCATAAATATAAACATGGATGGCCTACCATTACACAGGAGTTCAAAGTATGAATTTTGGCCTATACTATATAACATCCATGAAATACCTGATTTGCATTCCATGATAATTGGTATTTATTGGGGCAAAGGAAAGCCATCTGATCTAACAAAATTTTTACAAAGCTTTTTAGAAGCAGCAACAGCAACAGAAATATTGAAAGAAGGTATTATTGTAAAAAACACATTAAAGATCATTAAAATTAGGTCTTTCATATGCGATTCGCCATCTAGGTCTTTTTTAAAAGGTAAGTTTTAGGGCAAAAATATAGAAAGCGTCCAAGCTTCTTTCTTTTTTTAGGTGTAGCAAATTTCAACTCCCAGCATGGTTGCCAAAAATGCACAGTTGAAGGACAGTATTCCTACTTATCCAGGACTAACTACTTTCCTCAAAAAGCATGTGAAAAGAGAACTGATTATGGATTTCGAACAAAACAAGATGAGCTTCACCACAAGTATGACTCTCCCTTACTGAAGCTCCCTATAGATATGATACAGGATTTTCCAATTGGTTATTCTCTACACTTACTCAATCTTGGAATTATGAAGAAAATACTGTGTGGCTGGCGTGATGGAAAATTCGGAAATTCTAAAACCAAGTGGAAGAAGTGAAGTTGCCTGCAGAATTTCATCAAAAGGTTCGGGGTTTAGATGTTTTGGCATTTTGGAAGGGGTTAGAATTTAGATCTTTTCTTTACTATATAGTAGGGTGGGCCAAAAAAAATTTTTAATTTTCTTTTCTTTAGCTACCATGAAAATATCGTCCAAGATGACGAAAAAAAATTCTGATAAAGTTTGAGCTCTTAATATCAATATTAAGAGGTGGCTCATCGCGATTTTTTATTTTCCATTTAAATAGCACGGGAAAAATACATTTTTTTGTTTGGAATTTTATTGAGTTTAAACGAATCAGTGAGTTGTAGAAATCAATAAATATTCTTGTAGGGAATTGAACGATCTACAAAAAAGATATGATATGATTTTTTGCATAGTCGACCCTTTTAAAAGTTATTTGAGGTTAAAGTTCAACTTCAAATAGTAAATGATGACTTTTATAGTATTTCATACTCTATCACGAAATATTATCTCAAAAACATGAAACATCATATTTTTTGTGATGTTTATCGAGTGTTTTTCGGTAAAAATAATATCAAGAATCGTGAAAAAAACGGTATTTTCCTATATTTAATTTTTTTAAATACGAAATTTTTTCTTTACCTGAGTAATGACAAAAAAAATAATCATTTTCTTAAAAAATAATAAATATTATATTTACACTTAACTATTAGGTAATGTAGAGTAATAAAAGCCTTATTTCAATCATTTTTCAATTAAAATAAAAAATGTTATTCCATAACTTGTACTTTTTCACTGGCTTAAAATCAAACTAAATTTTTCTTGTTACAATTGAGATATTTTTGCCGGTGGTTTTTAACTACTCGCATTAAGTATCAAATATACATATATATAATTAATATATTTGATTTACCCATTGACTTTATCAATAAGAATGTAGAATTTTGGACACAGGATGAAAGCTATCAAGATAATCTAGTATTTTTCAAACGTCTTAACGTTCTCAATGATGTAGCAGAAAGTGGAGTTGCATTAATAGAAGAGTACAACAAATGTTTGATTCTAAGATAGTGAAAAAAGTTATGGAATAACATTTTTTATTTTAATTGATAAATTATTGAAACATGGCTTTTATAACCTAATAGTCAAGTGTAAATAGAATATTTATTATTTTTTGAGAAAATGATTAATTTTTTATGTCATTACTTATGTAAAGAAAAAAAATCGATTTTTTTTTAAATGAAGTATAGAAAAAAAACGGTTTTTTCACGATTGTTAATATTTCGTATTACCGAAGAACGCTCGACAAACTTCACGAAAAATATATTTCATGTTTTTGAGCCAATATTTCGTAATAGAGTATGAAAAACTATAAAAGTCATCATTTACTTTTTGAGGTTGAACTTTAACTTCAAATAACTTTTAAACGAGTCTACTAAGCAAAAAATCATATCATATCTTTTTTGTAGATCGTTCAATTCCCTACAAGAATATGTATTGATTTCTACAACTCACTGATTCGTTAAAACGCAATAAAATTCTAAACAAAAAAATGTTTTTTTCCCGTATTATTTAAATGGAAAATAAAAAATTGCGATAAGCCACCTCCTAATATTAATATTAAGAGCTCAAACTTTATCAGAATTTTTTGTTCTTCATCTTGAACGATATTTTCATGGTAACTAAAGAAAAAAAAATTAAAAGTTTTTTTTGGCCCACCCTACTATATAGGTATAGTTATTTTAAAAAATTTGTATCAATTAAAGTTTATCAGCATTTTTTACTTTTATTTTGTGCCGTTACCATTTGTTCTTCTGGAAAATACCAAAAGAGCCTAAATGGAGCACAGACGTTACTAGAAAACTTTGTAGAACATTTTGTTCATATGTATGGTGAAGATTATATCACAAGCAATTTTCACAATTTAAATTAAATGATAATGTAAAGAAATATGAAATCTTGCATTCATTTAGTTCATACCCTTTTGAGAGCAAATTGTATACAATAAAGAACACTATTCGGTCAGGTCATAGACCATTGGCTCAGATTGCAAAAAGACTGGGTGAATTAACTGAAGCAGCTTCACTACTTATTAAACAAAACCAAGGTCATAATATTCCCACTTTCCCATTTAGAGATGAAAGTGAAATATTTAACTACAGCGAAAATGAATATTACTTTTCTCATATAACACTTAACAAATTCATCCTAGAATCTAAAAACGAAAACCAGTGGTTTTTTTCTTGTAATAATGAAATTGTGTCTTTAAAATATATAGTAAAACGTAACAATGATGAAATATTATTATATGGAAAGGCTTTATTGTTTAAGGAGAACTTCTTTCAAATACCAATTTGTTCATCATATCTAAATATTTACATGTCACACTGTGGTGAAGGTGAAATTAAACAATTTTCTCTCAATAATATTAAATTTAAATTAGTTGCAATCAAAGACACCATTAAAAATGTAACCCATTTTTATTTTACTATTACATACTATATAAGTTTTGAATATCAAGAGATTGCCGATCTTCCTATTTACGTAAATCTGCATCAAGATAACGGTTTTATCTAAATAAAAAATTTATGCATCATAAAAACTAAACTAAGTAGGGACAGACTCAGGCTTACTTAATGTTTTTGATAAATTATATACTTTTTTCATTGGCAGAAATATATAACTCATATATATATATATATATATATATATATATATATAATAAAAAAAAGTAGAGTAGTAACGCCATCAACCTATCCAGCTTACAGGCAAAGCCTATAAGGTTCGGTTCTTCAGCGGGACCTACTGTTTAACGTGGAATCCGAACCACGGTCCTCGATGATCTACCGACTTTCAACGCGCACAACACCCAAGGCTGTACTGCCGTACTAAGCGCAGAAGCGGTAATTAACATAATGGCTGTCATGAGATATTGGTACTTTTATGTTAATAGCTCTGCCAACTCAGTTTGGTAACACCGCTAAAAATAACTTGATATTTCAATCATTTACTGACAAAATACCGATTTAATACCTTATTAAAGTAGAGATTTTTAACCCTAGGTTCATATTACGGAAAAATGTCAATTTCCTTTAAATGTGCAGTTACCGCTTCTGCGCTTAGGACGGCAGTGTAACCGGGGATCGCACCCGATACCTACGGACGCAGTTTGTCTCGGCATAGTCGCCTAACCCACTGCGCCATCCGTGGCCCCTATATATAATATATCTGCAATATTGTAACGTTTCACTTTTTGTATAGGCTTATTTTATTTAAAATTATCAAAAATTTAACAGTAACTCTAATAGTTTTACCTGAACATAGTTTCTAACAATAAAATCCATGGTTTTGCTTATTATTTGTCTTTATTAGGACATTACGATCATTAATATTATTTGGTGGGTTATTGTTCATATTTCTTTATTATTATAGTTGGGCACTGGCTTCCTTAGTCATTGTGGTTATATATCACAGGCGGTCGACCTGAAAATAAATATTTAGTAATATTTCAATGGTTAAACGTAGATTTTATAGAATTACTTACCCAAAATAATTACTCGTTGGATTTCATCCGTGGAGACCTGGCGGATTGTGTGAAACCTCGTTATGTGTTATTAGTTTTGTTTTTCATCTAAAATCGGACATAGTTTTGACCATTTACATTTATTTTGGCTTTAAAATGTATTGTTTGGAATCAGCTGTCAATTGTAGGTTAGTATTTAAACCGTTGGAGTTTCAAGGCCAAACGCAGTACAGTGTGCCATTCCATTGACATTCGTAACGTGTAGATAGACATTGGTCGTTTACTTATGGGCATTTGAAGGGTTATCTTGGAATTCGTTACTTAACAATCATAATAACTACTTTATATGACATATTAGTAAAACTGATAATCCTAAATCCAACCTTTTGATTTAATCAATTGGAGTAAATCTACATTTTTGTATGTCAATGTGATTCTCAGTGGACGTAATTAGGTCATTTGCGCAAGCAACGCTTTGAAATTCCAAACCACTTCCTTTAACCGTATTTCCGGCATCATCTTTGTGTTAACCGTGCAACCTGTAAGATCGAAGCCTGCATAATTTTGAAATATTAAGTGCTTTTTGAGCCACCCAAGTAATTTGGGATTAATCAAGTTAAGCAGAAGAATAAAGGTGTGTCGAGGATTGTTTATTTTTGGTTTTGATTGTGGATTCCTCACACGCAGCGGATTTATTCCGGATCACAAAGTTCTTACAGGGTAAGCCATATTCTTTAGTTTTTTGTATTTGTCGTTACAATAGTATTTCTATTTAGTTTTACGGTTCCTCCAAAGCGCCACACTTAGACCGCACACACCATCGTGTCGAAACTTTTGTTTATTTGGTCAATACACCAGCGTAAGTGGATTAATTCTGTCTGATACCATGTGGTATATTTTTTTATGTACTTTTAGGGTCCAAATCTATAGTATATATCTAGTCCTAGTCAGTGTAATCCAGCTACCCTACCATCACCTGATTTTGACCACCACCACAGTCGGTGTAATCCAGCTACCCGACCATATGGAGTTACATTACCTGATTTTGACCAACACCTTTTCTTTGACCTGGGTGACCAAGACATTCCATACCGCGAAGGTAGTCCGGATCACCCTGTGTATACAATCTGATGCGACGCTTGTGAGGCGACAGGGGTAAGACTGAGCCCGACGCCTCACCCACCCCTATTGTGACGACACCACCGGCCACGACACCTACCCGATTTGACGTTACCACTAGATCATACCGGTAACCTAGATAGGTTGTCGCGGGAGTCACCGCACCAGGATATTGGTATCACCCACTTATTTAGTTTATTGTCTCTTTTTTATATTACAAAACTCAGGTTATTTTATTTTGTCTAAAGTATAATCGCATTATTGTGTTACATTGTAGCAGCCCTAGCTGCATAGTTGGTTTAATTTTAATTAATGTTTTTTTAAGTATAAATTTTTATAATTTTCATATGTAAATTTTTTTGACGTTGCAATTAGGCGCCCAACGTTTATAATA